AGGTGAATCGTAAGTAATATACCGAACGAGTTTGGGCAAAATCAATAGCAGAACAAGGAGGGGAAAAGGGTAGGGGGAAAAAGGAAATTATTACTAACAGATACAAAAGATAGTTCTATAGAGCTATCATCGCGCACATCCTAATCGGGCGTGACTCATAGATTGATTGATTCTTTTTCTACGGCTTATCAACCCTTTCAGGTTATTTAAAGCCAGAAAATACTTTTATATTGTAAGAATTTTTTAGTGTCGGGTTATAATAATAGTTTAGCGATATAAGACTTACTAATTAACTCATAACTGAGGGTGGAGAAGGGGTGAATTCATACCTTTCCCAAAGGTATTTACACGTAAGTTAATATAAAGAACAGAACTGGAATTGGAACTCTGCTCTCCGATGAACAATTCCATTACACCATCCGCACATCCAACCTTGCAGTATCTGGTATTCCCAAGCGCTAAACCATCTAGGTTCTGACCAGGGTCGATGTTGCTTAATACCGGTGATCGTACGGGAGTACGACTCATAGAAGAAGATTAATAATAATAATAATAATAATAATAATAATAATAATAAGAAGAAGAAGAAGAAGAAGAACAACAACAACAACAACAACAACAACAACGACAAGATGAACGATAACGAGGAGCATAAGAAGGAGGGGGAGATGGGGAGGAGGAAATTAAGAAATAGGGGAAAAAGGCGATAGTTGAGTAAGATGGTGAGATAGTGAGGAAGAAGAAGGTGAATAAAAAGTAGGAGAATAAGAAGACGGAGAATGAGGTTGGAAGGAAGAAGATGGCTGATGATGACGAGTATAAGAAGGAAATGTGGAAGAGTAGGAGGAGAAGGAGGTGAAGAAGAATAAGATGGATGAGGAGTAGCAGAATAAGAAGGAGAATGAAGAGCAAGAGAAAAACAAGGACATGGATGATGATGACGAGAATAAGAAAGCGAAGAAGAAGAAGAAGAAGAAGAAGAAGAAGAAGAAGAAGAAGAAGAAGAAGAAGAAGAAAAATAAAGAAGAACGAGGAGGAGGAGGAGGAGAAGAAAGAGGAGGAGGCGGTAAAGAGGAGGAGTATAATAACAAGATGTCGGAAAATCAAGAATAAAGAATTGATTATTAAATTTTACAAGGCAGAAAGAATGGTTGCCAGGAAAAAAGTTATGGCTTACTTTTAGAAAAGTTTGAAATATTTATAATTTTATTTTTTTATTTTATATTTTTTTTATTTTATAATAAAAAATTTATGAAAATTTATAAAAAGTTTTAGACTATTACTTTGTTATAAATCAACTTTACAAGTCAGAATGAATGGTTGACAGAAAAAAAGTTATGAGTTACATTTTTCTGAATTCTAAATAATGCAGATGCAAAAAATTAAAACGTTGGAAAGTGCAACGAGAAGGGAATGAGCGACAATCTGAAGGCGCATAATTTTAAGTAACTTAATGAAAATAGAAAAAGCACACCGCACCTGGCTTGACGATTGCATGAAACAGACTGTCGCCACTGATTTTCACTTCAATGTCAACTTAAATATAATAAAAAGGCTTAAAGACTAATATTGCATGGTCATAATTTATTCCATTGGAATCGTAAATACGATCCAATTCATCAGACCTACAAATTCAAAAAAAAAAAAAAAACAGAAAAAAAAACAACTCCGGGAATAAAAAATAAAATTTAGTGAGTGTATGTATGAGAGTGTGGGACGAATGTTAGAGTAAATGAAAGCTATAGCGAGGGGTAACACACGAGAGAAGAACAGGAAGGTCTAAAGATGAAGTGGGGATTAAAATTTAACAGAGAGAAGTTTTAAAGAGGGGAGTCAAAGACGGTTTAAGTGAGGAAAATATGAATATACTCAGATGTCTAATACATTAAGGATACATTTTGTGGTGACATACGCGCACAATAGACGATTTAAACTTAAAGATCAGAACATGAGAGAGGGAGAGGAAAAGAAAAAAAGAAAGGGGCGGGGGGAGGGAGATAGATGGGGTGGGGGGGACTACAACCGAAGGGCATTTACTAAAATGGCCGCTGTGTAATCAAGAAAATTTGACAAAAGTAATATCGACTACAGTTTACAAATCAAATATAAACTTATAAAAAATAAATATAGTGATTATCTAATCTAGCAAGGGTCTATATTTCTATTTCTATCTATATATATATATATATATATATGTGTGTGTGTCTTTCAATCCATAAACTGGTTAAACTAATGAATGAAGTCAGAATGAACCTTTGCAATGGAAATAGCGACACAATAGAGATAGGCTTGCGAGGTTGTGTCCTTGGGAAAGATGTCACAGGGAGGAAAAACGTATCATTCCCCATAAATATACGTAAACGCTTTCGGATTCTGTCTTATGTAGAAAATTAGAAATGGGCAGCTCAAGTCTATGTATGGCAGCGATTGCATTATTAGGCGATGGACTTTGAGACAGATGTCTACAGATAGATGATCACAGAAATTTATTATCAGAAAAATCTTACGTTTCACTCACTAAAAGTCACTGAGTTGCCCAATCTTCACTTTCCATTCTCGATTGTGTACGAAAATGTATCCGCGTCCTCGGAGGCGACGAATTATTCTCGCAGATGCCCTCTCGCGGTTCTATCGCTATTTCAAATGAACTACAGTCTTTAGTTCCATCAATCCTAAGTTTCACGTCTGAAACTCACCTATCCTCACACATTGTTGCAAAGCAACATCATTCTCTTCGTACTCCCCTGTTGAGATATATGCTCCAGTCAAGCTGCTTTTTCCCATGGATAACCCTCCTTTTAGAACCGACTGCCAAGAGGTTGCTTCCCCGATCATTAAAGTCTTAACTTGATCATGTGTAGGGTTAAACGTCATCTTCCACACATATTTTCCTAAGCTCTGTATCTTAATCGAAACCCTCTACCTCGAGTGGTCCTTGAACAGGGTGAATACCATTGTATGAATAAAAAAGAAAAAACAACGCTTTTTTTTTTGTTTCCATATATTTTGAACGTTCTTCTTCTTCTTCTTCTTCTTCTTCTTCTTCTTCTTCTTCTTCTTTGTGCAGTGACCCTTCAGGCCGTGACCGATCATGCATCTCTGCAGAATTTTCCTGTCCTTTATAGCGATTAGTAAATTTTGTGAGTTCTCTATCTCTCCTAATCCTAGTTCTACAAACGATTTACACAAGCTCGTCAGGTAGGTTAACTCTGTCTTCAATATGTCCTGTAAGTGTCAAATTTTCTAAGCCTTCTTTCCTCCTTATCGTCCATAGAATGTTCAACCGTCTCTTTCTGATGTTAACTACAAATGTCTTTTTGTTTCTATTTTCTCTAAAACTTCGATATTGCTCATATGTTCAGTCCAAGGTATTCCCGGCATCCTTCTGTAGAACCATATTTCTGTCGCCTACAGTTTTTTTTTTCATCTGTGATGATATAGTCCAGCATTCACTGCCATATAGCAGTCAAGATTTCTAAAATCAAATACATACGATTTTTAGATCGTATTTATTTGATTTTAAAAATTTTCCTGAATATTTCACTGAAGTGTTTATCTTCAAAGAATTTTAACATAAACAATCATAGTTTCTAGGTAGAACTTGTATATATCGTAAAAAGAAGGAAGTCATTTTTAACTGGTGAAAGGAAGATACGTTTTAAGAGAGTTTAATTCTGTAGCGAATTTAGAGATATCATATTTTTTATACCATTATTCGACTCTACTTTGAGCAATATGAATGTATACTCTTCAAGCTTAACAGAAGAACAGTGATTAAATCGATCATGAAAGAAAATGACATGTTAATCATTAGTTAATCATAGCTAAGGATCGGAAGCTCATGAAATAAAATTCAAATATTTATATGTATATTATTGTAGAGTTATTTCCCAACTTATTCAAGATGATCTTCGCCCTGTCTAATCTTCTAGCTTTCCGTCCTGGAATAATAAGTTGCTTCACAGCTTTCACGTACGATTTCATTTTCAAGTCTTTTTGATCTTTGGACTGGCATAGCTGAAACTCCTCTCTCAATTGCCAACCGTCTTATGGATTGAGTTGGATCTTTTCTAATTGAACTCTTTATCTCTAATTTAAAATGCTGATCCCTCTTGTTGTTGTGACCTTCTGATCCAGTTTTCCTCCCTGCTATTCCCTCTTTTTAATGTTATTCACCACACACTTGATGTCTCTTGAAGGGACATTGAAAATGGAAGCCAGGGTATGAATGGAGGTACCATTACTCAAGACCTGAATGATCATTTTCCTCTCACCATTGATCATTTGAACGGACAGCGGGGCTGATACAAAATGATTTTAAACTGTTCTCTTTCTTGCTGAATAACTCAAAGAGGTTTTCCTTGATTCTTACGACAAATGATGTCAATGTGGCTAAACGTCCTATCTGAAAACCTGGAAAAAAGAAACTCGATTAGTTTAATGCTTTATTAGATATTAATCATTTTGTGGGATGGACAATTAAGCTGTTACATGATTTGGACAATTTTGCTGTTACACCCGGTATATATATATATATATATATATATATATATATATATATATATATATTTTATATATATATATATATATATATATATATATATATTTATATATATATATATATATATATATATATATATATATATATATATATATACATATATATATTATATATATATATTTTTTTTATATATATATATATATATTTTTGTATATATATATATATATATATATATATATATATATATATATATATATATATATATGTTCAAGGTTTTCAATTGTGGCAATCTCTGATAACAAGACACCCTTAGCCTTATTTAGAAATAAAATGTGCTTGTCTCCTCACCCAGACATTAAGTGTCTTGCGTGTTACAGTACCGAGTTAAAATGACTTTATTTCTTTTTTTTTTAATATCATTTTAATTTCCTTTTCTCGTGTGAGTTTGACTGCATGTGACTTCGTGTGACTGTAAAATTTGCTTGTATCTTTTGCTCGTATGGAATGTGAGTGTGTCACTTTTGCTCTTGTGCCAGCCAGTGGAAAAAAGGGCGGAGATAGAGTAAAGCCTACATCCGCTACCGGTTAGTCAGGTGCTATATCCCCCGTTGCAAATTAGCCGTAGCCCAGCGCTGATTAGCACTGACAGGTGGTAATCAAAGTATTTCCCGGCTTTCGCCTTTTCTTATAAATTTTAGCCATACTTTATATTTTTTTATCAATTCGCAGTCAGTTTCTTGCAGCTAACACTTTTACACTTTTACCCTCCTCTTTTGAGTCAACTTTATTTTCATTCTTGTATCTTTTTCCTTTCTTTTTTTATTTTCTTTATCCTTCCTTTTTAAATTCTTAATTCTCTTCTTTCTTTCTTTCTTTCTTTCTTTCTTTTCACGGTTAGTTTTCATTTACATTACATTGAATTCCCGTATTTTCTTTTTCTTTGTTTGTTTGTTTGTTTGTTTGTTTCTTTCTTTCTTTCTTTCTTTCTTTTCACGGCTACACTTTTCATTTATATTCCATCGTATACACAGTGTTATTTTCTTTCTTTCTTTCTTTCTTTTCACGGTTAGTTTTCATTTACATTACATTGGATTCACATATTTTCTCTTTCTTTCTTTCTTTCCTTCTTTTCACGGCTACACTTTTCATTTATATTCCATCGTATACACATTTTTATTTTCTTTCTTTCTTTTCACGGTTAGTTTTCATTTACATTACATTGAATTCACGTATTTTCTTTTTCTTTCTTTCTTGCTTTCTTTCTTTCTTTCTTTCTTTTCACGGTTAGTTTTCATTTACATTACATTGAATTCCCGTATTTTCTTTTTCTTTCTTTCTTTCTTTCTTTCTTTCTTTTCACGGCTACACTTTTCATTTATATTCCATCGTATACACATTGTTATTTTCTTTCTTTCTTTCTTTCTTTCTTTCTTTCTTTCTTTTCACGGTTAGTTTTCATTTACATTACGTTGAATTCCCGTATTTTCTTTTTCTTTGTTTATTTCTTTCTTTCTTTCTTTCCTTCTTTTCACGGCTACACTTTTCATTTATATTCCATCGTATACACAGTTTTTTTTTTTACTATTCTTTCTTTCTTTCTTTCTTTCTTTCTTTCTTTCTTTCTTTCTTTCTTTCTTTCATTCTTTGCTACCGTTTTCGTTTACCTTCCTTTGGATTCTTCCTTTCTTTTAACTCTATTGTTTTTCTCTTTTTTTTTTCTTTCTTTGAAGCTCTTTCTTTTTTCCAATTTCTTCTTTTGCCAGTTTTCATTTCTCTCCCTTTCTCCTTTTCTTCATTCTTAATTTTCTTCATTCTTAATTTTCTCTATGTGTTTATTTTCTCTTGTTTCTCTTTCATTTCAAGTCTTTCCTTTACTCTGGCTTTTATTCATTTGTTCACTCTGGTTTTTCTCTTGTCTTCTTCTTTTTTTTTCTTTTTGTTTATTTAATCATTCTAGTTTTTGTTTTCCTTCAGGTTCGCATTATTTGACTTGTATTTTTTTTGTTTTTCCTTTCTTAAGCTTTACGTAATTTTTCACTTTTTTGTATTGTATTTCTCATCATTTTTCCATCATTTAGCATTCTTTCATTTAAAAAATTTATTCTTACCATTTCTTTTCCTTTATTACTCTGGATTTTTCTTCATTTCTTCTCATTTTCTCCCATTATTCTTTCATTTTACGATTCCTTTCGCCGTCCTGAGCATGACGATGAACTATATTCGTCAGCAAGACATCTGATCAGGAGGTTTTTGAGAAGCGTAGGACCACCTTTTAATTTCTGTTGTTCCGAGGTCCACACTGACCTGCGATGTTAGAATATAGGCGAAATGTTAACTCCCTAACTGAGGTCAAAACACTAGGATAGAATAACAATACATTTTTATAGTAAAAATGCCAAAAAATATTACCAACAATACATTTTTGAAAATGAAAAAAAAATTACCATATTAAATTTCAGCATCAAATGATAGGAGTTGATATACTGCTAAACAAACAAACAAATAAACAATTGCTTTCCTTCTTTTATTCAATCTTTCTCCCTCTGTCTTACTCTCTCTCTCTCTCTCTCTCTCTATCTATCTATATATATATATATATATATATATATATATATATATATGTATGTATATATATATATATATATATATATATTTCATGTTCTTCATTTATGCTTTCATTCTTTTATTACTTTTTTTTATTTTATTTTTCTCTGTCTTTTTTTTTTTTTTTTGCTCTTCCTTTTTTAGTATTTACTGTTATCTTTTAGTCTTTCAATATTCTTTATTCTATTATTTAGTCAAGGCTTTATCTCCGGGACATAGAATAAACTGATTGCATCTTCTACAGAGAGGTAACCATATACAAAAAAGAGACACTCTAAAAAATAAAGCGGCTACTGACTCAAACAGAAAAGATCAATATCTGTTTACCTCCGAACTAAATAAATGCTTACAGACCTATATAAATGAACAATCTATATAATAAATGCGAATATCAGTGTGTCACTATGTCACACCTTTTCAACTTTACTCCTAGAGGCCTTAGCTCAACATATCAAACCATTTTGGAATCAGGTCGACTCCCTGAGGAAATTACAAACATTCCAGGCTGTATTCGGACCCGCCATCCTGAAATTTTGAATTCCTTTTTTTCTTTACTGCTATTGTTTTATGGTTCCGCCATCTTGGCCGATAAAAACAATTAAAAATGACACAGCTTTCTAATTTTCAATAGCTCATGTTGAAATGAAAAAAAAAAAATACTTTTCTCAAATTAGAGTGTTTCAAAATAAAATTGTCCGTATTTTCAATTTTACTCTTAGCTGTCTTAGCCCAACATATTATGCCATTTTGAAATCAGTCGGACGTCAGGAGCGTATTAAAAAACATCCCGGACCAGATCCGAACCCGCAATCCTGAAATTTTCGATTCCAAGTTTTCGTTACGGCTATTGTTTTCGGCAATTTTTTTACTTGATTTTTTGCGGCGAATTTTTTGGCACGATAACAATTTTTATAACTTGGGAATAATCGAAATTAATTTTGAAATCCTGCGAAAATCATCCATGAAATAAAAATAAATTTCTGTACGGAAATTAAGGACCTACGTACATCTTTAGATTAAGTGGCGACAGAAGAAATGTTGCTGAACTTTTAAAAGGTAAGCTTAAATATTCATATTTCTGTTGAAAGAAAGGCTTACTTTAATATACTGCACAAGAAGAAAAAAAAGACCAACCAAGCTATACATAGTGTTGCGACCATTTGTCATAATGCCTCGAAAGGCAGCTTATGCCAATTCCTAATCGTGAGGTTTCATCCAGAAGTAGCTCAGTTACGAAGCAGATCTACATCTATATAATAAATGCAAATGTCAGTGTGTCAGACTTTTTCAACTTAACTCCTTGTGGCCGTAGCCCAACATATTAAACCATTTTGGAATCAGGTCGATTCCCTGAAGAAATTACAAACATTCCAGGCTGTATTCGAACCTGCAATCCTGAAATTTTGGTTTACCTTTTTTTTTTCTTTACTGCGATTGTTTTATGGTTACGCCATCTTGGCTGCTAAAAACAATTAAAAAGGACACTGCTTTCTAACTTTCAATAGCTCATGTTGAAATGAAAATACTGTTCTCAAATTACAGTGCTTCTAAATAAAATTGTACTTAGCCAAACATATCATACCATTTTGAAATTAAGCCGACGTTGTGAGCAAATTAAAAGCATTCCGAGCCAAATCCGGACCCGCAATCCTTAAAATTTGGATTCGAAAATTTTCATTACTGCAATTTTCTTTTTTTTTTAGCTGATTTTTTTGCAACGAAATTTTTTGTACGATAACAATTTTAATAACTTCCAAATAAATTTGCGAATAATCGAAATTAGTTGCGAAACCCATCGAAAGACAACCATATCATAAAAATAATTGTTTGTATGGAAAGTAAGGATCTACGTGCATCAAAATATCTTTAAATTAATTGGCAGCAGGAGAATTATCGTTAAACTTTTAAATGGTAAGCTTAAATATTGTTGCAAAACTTTAATGCAGCGATCAATTTTTTGTTCTTCTGTAGTTTATTGTTACCTTTCACGCCTACATCTTCTTACCTATTGTGACGAAGGTCCAATCAAGAGCTCTGCGCGGGAGCTAGCTTTTAACACCGCCAGATAAAAAAAAAGCTAGTATTTAATGATTACGAAACCAATTTAATGCTTTTAGAAACAAATAGAAAGAGCGAGTATTTTTCTTAGACCCGAATCAATTAAACATTTATAACATCAAACAGAAACGACCAATATTTACTTATCCACGAACCCAATAAATACTTGTTGACTTCAATATGCATTAGTAATTTGTACCTATTCCCGAAAAAAAAAATCAATACAGACTTCAATTCATTGTCGTTTTTGAGAAAGAGTTTGATATCGTCGAAAAAGAGTAAGTGATTAAACATTTTCTTTATTACATATTTATTACTGTTTAGTTCATGCAAAGTCTAGATTTATTGTGTGTATTTTTGTAATTCTCCATATCTTGAATGTTACTTTTTCATATTTATCTAATCCGAAATCCATACCTATGTCGTCACTGAAACTTTTTACAGTATTGAGAAGGCACTTCAACTTATTGTTGCATTTGGCAAAGAGTTTGAGATCATCCATGTAGAGTAGGCGATTGAATACTTTCTTGTTTAGTTTGTATCCATAACTATTATTGTTTAGTTCATGCGAAAGGAGGATTAAGGAAAGAACAGAAGGGGCGACGGGGAATCTCCTTGAAAGATTCATCGTCGGATATTCAGGAGGTTGGAATGGCAATGCATTTGGTGTGATTCCCGTGCTGTATTTAAGGAAATTTACTAAACCCAATCTTAAGGATCCAAGAGTGTGGCACACTATCAAAGGCTTTACGATAGTCTATCCATGCTATGTTGAGATTTCTACCTATTTTCCTGCAGTTTTCCAGGAACATTTTTTTTTATCGATAGTTGATCTTTGCAACCATATAAACCTCTCCTGCATCCCTTCTGTTCCAGGGGGAATAATTTTGTTTTCCTCGAGAAATGAGTAAGTACTTTTCGTCAAGACAGGCGTTATCAATTTATACGTAGTAGACAGACATGATATTGGCCTATAATTTTTCGAATCATCTCTTTCACCCTTTCATCATCCAGTCTTCTGTAAGACAGTTCCTGATGAGCTAATCCTCTGCCTCCTTCGGATCTGGTAACATACAGACGATCAACATCAGCGTTGGGATGATGCATGCGGTGACAAGTGAGAAGATGTCTCGTTTGGCGTCCATTCCTTAATGCCAGCTATGGTCTAGTTAAAGATATCGAATCCAAAATCCATACAAACGTCATCACTGAAACATTTTAAAATATTGAGGAGGCCCTTCAACTCATTGTCATCTTTGGCAAAAAGTTTGAGATCATCCATGTAGTGTAGGTGATGGAATATTTTTTTGTTTAGTTTGTAACCATAGCTACTGTTGTTTAGCACATGCGTAAGGAGGATTGATTATAGACACAATTGAAGGGACGACAAGGAGTCTCCTTGAAAGATTCATCATCGGATCTTCAAAAATTAGAAGTTTCATTACCTTTGGTATGATTTAGGTATAATGTGATTTTACACAGTTTTATGCTATACTTAAAGAAATGTTCCATCAACGAGGCAACGTTGTACATTTCCAAATCCTTAACGATCCAAGTGTGTGGCTTAACTACCAAAGATTTTACGGTAATCTATCCAAGCTGTACTGAGATTTCTACCTTTTTCCTGCAGTTTTCCAGGATTATTTCATTTATTAGGAGTTGATCTTTGCAACCATATGAACCTCTTCGACATCCCTTTTGTTCTAGTGTAAGAATTTATCTAGAAAATAATAAATACAGTGTAATGAAAAAAGTACGCAGATGTAGGCTTTAAGAAAACCTTATTCAACTGAGAATACAAGGTTCGCGTATAGTGTCATTTTATAGTTCCAGTAAACAGAAATAGCTCTCTCAAAGAGAGAGTAACAAAACAAGGGGAGACCACTCTTGATTATTCATAACATAGTTTATCAGGACAGACGTAATCAATTTATATGTGATAGAGAAACATGTTATTGGCCTATAATCTTTTGAATTATCTGCTTCCCCGTTTGTGATAGGAAATAAATTATTATTATTATTAGTAGTAGTAGTAGTAGTAGTAGTGGTAGCAGTAGTCCTTTGATTTCTGCTGTATACACATTTGCTACCCATTTCCTTCAGGGTCCCAACTAAAGAGCAAAGGTCAGAAATAAATTCATGACATTTCCACAGATCATTTTTGTAAAATAATAAAACAACAAAAAAAATAAAAATCATGCATATTTCACAGGAATAAAACCCTTCCTAAGGAGTGAATTGAAATTATGTGTACAATTCTTCGTAGTTAATTAAAGCGTGGGCTACCAGGAATTCCTTCAATGAATCTTTCAAAAACTTTTCCAATCAATCCGAAGGTTCCAACGACAACTGGAATTATTGAGGTCCTCATGTGCCACATTTTTGAGATTTCCACTTCAAGATCCTTGTATTTTGATAGTTTTTTGAAGAACTTCAGGGACTGCCATGTCAATAAGAAAGCACATTCTGTTTTTTTTGTGGCCTTTGGTTATGATGTCTGGATTGATTAGCTTTGGTTGTTTTGTGTCTGTGTAATTTAAAGTTCCATAAGATTTTTACAGATTCTGTTTCTGTAATCGAGTTTGGGTGATGTTCGTACCAGTTTCTTGCAGTTGCCTTCACGTAAAAGTTTCAGAATTTCCAGTGCACATATTAGCCCACTCATGCCATGTGTTATATTCAGGAAGTGCTAACACCGTGCAACCTGATTCACTATGGTCCATTGTTTCTGGATATTTATCACAGAAACTTTGTTTTGGTTTAAAATCATTTTTTTATTATGAGTCCTTTTAATTTCTATTTAACAAGCATTGGTCATTTGCAGCAAGAATAAAATCTTCGGTTTCAACTATTAATTTTGCATGACGTAATGGCTGATGGGTAAGGGGTTTGTGTGCATCAGCTTGTTTGGTACGCGAAGATTATTGAACATGAAGAGGCTTATCTTGCCATCATTTCTGCATTTGTTACATTGCACTTGATTTTGCTTTCTTTTTTAGGTTCTTTGCCGCTGAAGTAGTTGTATTATGTTTCCTTTGCTCTTCTTTGCCTACTTTGGAACTTCTTAGCGTCCTTTATTACTGATTAAATGTTCTTATTTCTTTCATGTCCTTTGACACAGATCATCATCCTCTCTTCTGTAGTTTCCAGTTATCTTGAACTAATTTCCTGCCTCCTGTAGATTAACATCAACCTTAGGATTCATGCGGTGGTATGTGAGAAGCGTTCTCGTTTTGACATTCATTTGCTAAATGTCAGCGTGGTTCCAGTTAACGAAGTTGAAACTGTATAACATCACGGGGACAATCAACTTATGTAATTATTATTATTATTATTATTATTATTATTATTATTATTATTATTTCCTTTAATTTCTATTTTATACTTATTTATTATTTGTTATTATTTATTATTGTTTAGGTCCGTTTAGACACTGAAATTTTAAATTATTTTTTTTATTAATGTATTTTGGGTATATAATCTAAGCAGTTTCACTCAGATTCCTTTTGTTTTTCCTTCCCTTTTGTTATACTGGAACATACCTATTCTATTGTTAATAGACTCTCCCACATATAATAAGTAGTAGCAGTCGCCAGTGAGCTCAGTGAGTTGGTGAGTCAGTCGATGTCGGACATTAAAGTATCAACCACCACAACTAGATTGCTGCGTCATTAACTATTATAACAAGTTTCTAACGTTTTGTACGTCGAACTTTTTAGGACCGACTTAGTGAAATACAAACCTCCACGGTGAAACTAAACTATGACACATTTGCTTTTGCTTCTTTTTGGTTCTTTGTTGCTGCAGTAGATGTATTATGTTTCATTTGCAATTTTTCGCTCACTTGAAATTTTCTTTTGAATTTCTTCGCTTCCTTCATTACTGAATAAATGTTCTCATTTCTTTCATGTTCTTTGACTCAGATCATCATCCAGTCTTCTGTAGTTTCCATTGTTTCTGAATATCTTTGAAGACCACCTAATTTTGTGATTTTGTAAGACAGTTCTAGTTGAACATATCCTCTGCCTCCTTCGGATCTGGGAACATCCAAACGATCAAAATCAGCCTCAGGATGATGCATAAGGTGACAAGTGAGGAGATTTCTCTTTTTGCCGTGTATTCGCTAAATATCAGCTATGGTCCAATTAAGGATGTTGAAATTATTGCACCACAGAGACAGGCAAAATGTTTATGGCTAATACTCTGTTTTGTGAATTCAAGTCTTTATTGAACACCAGGCGCACACACCTGTAGTATCAATTTCTTAATTTCACCTTCATTACCATTATTATTATTATTATTATTATTGTTGTTGTTGTTGTTGTTGTTGTTTGTGTGTCATGTTTTGCGATATGTATCCTGTAAAGCCGGGTCCAAACTATGGCCCTTGGACCATGTTGTGGATTCCGGGATGAAATCCGGTCTCAAATGAATGACAAACGCAGGAATGAAATATAGCAAATAAATGTATTGACGTGATAATACAGTTGGTAATACGGTTAGTAGATCCAGAAATGCGGTTAGTAGCAATAATAATATATATACAGTCTGGGAAATTCAGTATCGAAGTAGGACTTCATTCTGAGTCTACGTGCTCGCAACTGTGACTCCTACAAAGCAATTACCTCACACTCTTACTCTCTCTATTACTCTACATCTCGGGTATTCACCGGCAGCAGTACAAATACACACTGGTCGAGTCCACTTGTATGAAAAAGGGGTGGACCCCATAACAGGTCCGATAGGATAATTGTCATTTAATTGATAGCACTTTCTTAGTATATGGGATGTGCCTAGTAGGGCGATTTTCTGAGTAACTTTTATGTTATTACCTGGGACACTCTTAGTAAAATTGTCCATTCCTTTTCTCACGAGGCCCAGTCCTCCGATTACTATTGGTACAGTCTCAGTCTTCATTTCATAAATCCTGTTAATCTAGATCTCCAGGTGCTTGTATTTGGACAATTTCTAGATACTTTCTATGGAGGTGTTTCTCTCAGATGGTACTGCTATGTCAATAAGCAAAAACTTTCTGAATATCTTGTCTTTTATGATAATAGCAGGTCTGCTGGCTTTTATTTCCCCGTCAGTTCGAATTGGCATGTCCAAGAGGATAGTTAAATCGTTATTTTGGGTAACTGTGTCTGGTTTGTGCTCATACCATGTCCCAGTGGTTTCAGTTTTGTGCTTCTTGCATATCTTCCAGTGCACATATGACAGTACATTGTTATGTCTGTGGGTATGGTCATTTTTTTGCCAGTTTCGGAGATTCTGAGATAATATGATCGACAGTATCATCCTATTTCCCACACGCCCTGCATTTCGGGTTAGTTCCATCCTTAATTATGTGACAATGATAGGATCTGGTTGCGAGGCTTTGGTCCTGAGCTGCAATCATTAGGCCTTCTGTCTCAGCTTTCAGCCCGGCTCTCCTCAGCCAATGATGTGTTTTCCGTTGGCCCGTGTCTTCTTTCTTCGTTCTTTTTATGCCTTTGCAATGCAACACCTTGTCCTCCCAGTTTTGATGCAATTTCATTTAGCCAAGTTGTTTTGCTTTCTGCTCGATTCGTTTGGCAGAGATTATATTCGCCTCGATTTTTGTTGGTAGGATTTCAGGTATATTAAGCTGTTTCTTGAAGAATACAGCTACTTTGTTGGAGTGGATTTGGTGTTTTACTATTATTATTGTTGTTATTATTATTATCACTATTATTTTCATTATTATTCATGCCAGGTCACTCTATGAGTGCTACAGATAGACCTGATGTTTGCTGGAGTCATCAACAACTAAAGCGGTTCCTCCACCAGCTTTTTCTTTGGGAAAGTTGGCTAGATACCCAGCAGAATTAAATACAAGACCTGTCAAAGAACGGATGAACCTTCTTTGAGAGTCAGCATCTATCTAGCACAAGGAGGTAAACTGGACTCTATAGTTTCTTGTGCAACATCCTATTTTTTTACGTAAATACTTAACATTTAAAAAAAATCGCCCTATACACGAGCATATACGGTACTTTCCTTTTCTTTATTTTCCTAATATTTTCCCTTTTTTATTCGATGTTGTCTCATTCTTAACTCTTATCCTTTAATTAATCTTTTTTTTTCTTTTAATCTTCTTTTATCTTTTTCTTTATCTCTTTTCGATTCCTCTCATTTTCTTATTGTCTCGCTTTTAATTCGAGATATTTTTTTAACTCTAATTCGCTTCTTCTTCTCTCTTCATTTCTTTGACTTTTCTTTCATTATTTTAAATTTTCTTGTCTTTATTGTCTTCATCTATTTTCCTATCTTTTACTTACTTATTTTCGGTCATCGTCATTTTCATTTCATTACATTCTTTTCATTCTTTCTTTCTTTCTTTCTTTCTTTCTTTCTTTCTGTATTTCTGTATTTCTTTATAGTATTTTCTCTTTCTGCTCTCTTTATAAGAAATTTAACAATGTTTTCTTTCCAGACTTCTGCGTCACTTGTTTCTTTACTTTTTCAACCATTGTAATCCAACTATTCAAGCATCCCTTTCCGCCTTTCTATTCCCGCCATCTTATATGATATATTTATGCCGTCTCTTGTTTTCCTGGGGGAATCCCCTTTTATTTACTAAAAAACTTCCTTTTTAAATCGATCTTCTTTTGAATTGACCTACGTAAAAATCGGTGTACTAATATGATTACCTTTTTCGACCAGTTCACTAAAAATAAGTTAACAGTATAAAATGTTATCTCTATCTATAAAAGGCAGGATGTGTGTGTATGTGTGTAACGAATGCACGGCCGCAATTTTCGAAGGATTTGCACCAAAATTTACATGCACATACTCCAAGTTAGCGGGAAGGCCAAGACCGACTGCATTTCCCAACTCCCATCGATAGTGGAAATAATCGATTTTTTCATGCTTCTACGCCAGTTTTCATGTAGTTTGCGGCCATTTTATACTGGCCAGAGTGAGAGCCAATAGCTGGCTGCCACAAATAGGCAGGAAGATTCTATTGGCCAGCGTGAGAGCCAACAACTGACTGACACGAATATTAACTAGCATGCTAACATGCAAAAAAATCGATAGCTGCATTCGTCACAAATGGGAAAAATTTAAATCTGCATGGCACTTTACTCCAATTGGCTCATTCGCTTGCTTACTCAACGTTGATTCTGATTCCACAGAACTGGGTTGGGTGTGAAAAAGTATTTGTTGTTAACATTCCTTTTTCATTCGGTTTTTCCAGTTACGTGTCCTTTTTTTTAAAGCTGATCGTTTTGTGTTCATTTTGTTTAGTTCTTTTTTCGTAACAGATTTAATTTTTATTATAGAGCTTAGAAAAAATTCGCAGTGTGAGAAAAATTAAGACATGTAGCAACATCAGCACGGCAAAGGGCACTCCTTTAAAGGCAAGGAAGGGCAAAAATATTTTAAGTCAAGTGATAGCGATTGCTGTATGAGTCGTACGATTTTAGAATCAAGCACGGACAACGCCGGGCCATGCTGCTAGTATGGCCTTTGTTTTATTTGTTTCTCCTTCTTTTAATTCGTTCCACTTGTTTTCTGAAGATTGTTTTTGTCTTTTTACGTACCATATTAACCTAACTCTAAGCGATTTCATTTATTGAACTACAACAAAATGGATGACTATCCAATACCATTGGCGGGAAAGCTTGATCGCAAATAATGGAAGATGTCGGTGGTGTACAAGCAATTTACTGCTTTATTTAACTGAGATTATAAAGAACGTTCTTAAAGTAAAACTCTTTATAACTGGTGTGGTTGTTAAATAACAACCTCGCCGTCCGATGATAACCAGTATTAAATCCTATTTACGTGATGACATATGTTTACATCGTGTCATATAAAAGCCTTGTGGTAGAGACATTAAATTGAATACATCGAAGTTTCCGGCTTGAGTGTAGGACTGTGAGACATAAGTTTTTATAAAGTGAGAGATAAAGAAAAGAGAATAAGCTGATATAATTCACTCCTGGTAGATTTCCAGGCATTAGCAATTATAGCAAATAGTGATGTAATTATTTAATGTTAAATTAAAGTTGAATGCTACAGCAGATTTAGAAGACAAAAATTATATTTTTTACATGCAAAGATATTGATTATTGTGGAAAAATATCAATATTAGTGTCGTATTTGTCAACAGAAATTCTTAGCCAATAGATTAAACTTGTTTGAAATGCCATGATATTTGGTTTTGTTCTCGGATTTCTTAGCCAATAAAACTCCATGTTTTGAATGCGGAAAAAATTGGATATTCGCGGAAAAATATCCCAAATTGTTGTCGGATTTGTCAAAATAATTTCTTAGTCAAAATAATTTCTTAGTCAATAAAAACGCATGATATTTTATTTTGTGGAAAAATATTTAAATTTCGTCTTGGATTTGCCAAAATATTTTTTTAGCCAATAATAAGCAATATTTTAAATACTGAGAAATTTACTTTTTTGGAAAAAATCAAATTCGGTCTTGGATTCGGTAAAAGAATTTCTTATCCAATAAAAACGAATGTTTTAAATACCGAGATATTTACTTTTGTGGAAAAATATCCAATATATTAGATTTTCCAAAAGAGTTTCTCGACCAATAGGATACACTTGTTTTAAATGGAGAGATATTTGATTTCGTTGAAAATGTTCAACGACGTTTTCGAATATGCCAACAGAAATACTTAGCAGTAGAATTCACTAGTTTTAAATACAGAGTCATTTATTTTTTGCGAGAAAAAAATCGAACGTTGGTCGAGAATTTGACAACAGAAGAACTTAGTCAACTGAAACGTAGCTTTAACATGCAGAGATATTTGATGCTGTGGAAAAATACCCAAAGTGTGTCACGAATTTGGCAACTTAATTTCTTAGCCACGAGAAACCCACAGTAAATGGCATCATTCTTGAGATCGATATAACATTTTCTTTATTAGTTAGGATATCGAAATCAGTGGAAAGGATCGGTTTCTTTAGAAAATGATTTCTGTTTGCCAGCCGCGGTTGTTGAATAGACGTAGCTTTCTACGACCTACATATTTTAGTAGGTTAACAGTGGACAGTAAAATATCTTACAGCAATATTCCAAGAAAAGTATGGAACAAATAAATTATTTATCATTAGTCTATAGTTGATGCTGCTACTAATTCGCTGAAAACAGAGCATATCATGATGAAAAAATGCCCCAAACTTTTAAAAACAAAGACTTATTGTCAAAACGTTTGTGTTATTATTAAGGGGAAAGACCAAAGTATTTTGTGGTTATTTTATTAATCTTTTAATCCTTTCTAGCACGTCCGAAATTTTGGTTAAAATTTCGTTTTTCTTTTTGCCAATAAGATATTATTTACTTTAAGTTTAAAAACTTAAAGTAAATAATATTTTTTTTCAAATCAGATTAATTATACACTAAATCAGCTAATATTTCTCAAATAAAGTTTCAGAAAAGTATATTTTATTTTTGGAAGATTTTTTAATAAAGTGAATTAGATTGCAATACACGCGGGATAAAAATTGCACTAAAATCATTTTCTGGGGGCTGAGAGCCAAAATATTCATCTCGTCAAATGAATTTAATTTTGAAATAGAACAAAGTATTTTGCTTATTGGAAATATTATATTTAATCTGTTAACTTGAAAATAAAACTAAATTAAAAGCTTCAATAAATATTTATTTCATTCTAAAAAAATTATTTGTCGCGAGTCTGGGCGATAGCTAGTCTATGGATTAAATAGTTTACGTATGATTTGTCCGAATTTCTGGAATGAAGAGTTGTCATTATTTACACTATTGACATTCCGACTGTTGTCCTCATCTTTGTTGTTGCTTTTACCATTGCACTCTCCAGCCTTCATCAAGTGAAAGGTATTCCGAACTAAACCCTTTATTTAATATGGGCTGTTATCGTCTAATGCTTATTTTTTTAGTGCTGCTCAGTTTATAGATCCAAGTTCTTAACGTAGAATTGTCCCGCAGGGCATTAGCTCAGTGTATCAAAGCCTTGGTTGTTGAATTTGTTGTTAAAGTAATTGTGAGTTCAATTCTTAGACCAGGTATGGTGTATTTGGACCCAGTGAAAGGAATGCGTAATCTGAGCATATCTATGAAGAATTAATTGATTTATATATAACCCGATAATTTTTTTAACTTCAAACGTTATTGTTGTGGTGTCCTCCCTCTAATGAGTCTATTTTGGACTCTTCCACTAAGATGTTGTAACCAAGCAAATGGTTAAGAAATAACAAAACAAAAGGTTGCAGATAAATCGTGTATTGAAAAGTAAATACAACAGATGAGTATTATACTACTTGGTGTGGCACCATTTACGAGGCAGAAAAGGAAAAGAAAGGAAAGAAGGCAGAAAGAAAGGCGAGACGAATCGTGGGTGATAAGCAGACACACACACGGCTAAGAGACAATGAATATATTGATAAGTAACAAATGGCGAAAGGGTGTCATTACAATGACAGGGAAATTCTGAGTAAAAAGAAAGGGAAAGAAAGAAAGAATCAGATGTGTTTTGATAACGGCTGTGTTATCTAGGAGTACGTAAACAAACTGCTGGTCGACTGGCCAAAGAAAAATTCAAGAAAATGTTATTTCGATAAGTGACGAAAAACAGGGACTTTGGGATAGATATGGAAAATTAATCGCGACCCACACGAAGTAACCACACTGACCGATTTTCTTGCCGCAGAACATCTTTATGCCTGCGATAATAAAATTATGTTATCAAGAAATGTTCGCCAAAGAAAAGTCCAATTGAAAACGTTAATTTTGATAATTGACAAAACACAGGTGTAACTACAAGGCTTTGGGTAGATATGAAAAAATTTAATCACGACACACACGAAGTAACTACACTGACCGATTTTCTTGCCGCAGAACATCTTTGGCCTACGATAATAAAATTATGTTATCAGAAATATGTACCGAAAGAAAATGAATGGGGACCCAGAAGTGTTTTTTCTTCTTTCTTCGAAGCGACAGACTGACTGAAACTTTGGAGATGTTTCTTTTTTGAGGCCGTGTTAAGAAGACCACCCATTCTGATAATTGGCGATAAAAATACCTGACGAAAACCACGTGTAGAACAAGAGTTATATTGTCCCGTTTGCGGCTAGGGAAATGATAACGGCGTTTAAGAGGAAGAAAAGGGAAAGAGAAGAGATAATTTTTTTTTAGTTAAGCAAGATATTTTTTTTTCTTCCTGAAACAAAGCCGGGGATTCGTCCACGCCGACTAAGACATCATTGGTCAAGTGGTGATCACGTGACGCACGAAGGAGGCTGTCGACGCCTCATCCAGAGTATAGGTATGAGAGGCTGCTACGAAGAAGTGGGAAGGGCAGTTCACGCCCTCTGAAGTATGGTGAGAAGGTGGGAGTGAGGAAAGGTTCCCAAAAATGGAAAAGAGTGGAAAATCCCTAACCAGAAATAAAAGAGGTGGATATGTATTTAGAATTATCGAGGAACCCCCGACGCCGACAGACCCACCCCGGTTTTGGTCGGCGTCCAT